CTCCGTCTTTACTGTGTTAAGTCGTAAGCCATGCTGTTCCAATTGAATTTTCCACATCTGCACGTCCTCTTCTAGTTCTTTTCTGCTTAGTGCCATCAGAATCACGTCATCTGCATATATCACAGCCCATGGTGGTTGACGCATAAATCTACTGGTTATCGCATCCATGACTGTAATGAAGAGTAGTGGCGACAGTACAGATCCTTGATGCACACCTGCTTTTATCTGGAATTCTTCTGATCTTCCTGCTGCTGACTGCACGCAGCTGGTTGCATTCTTGTAGATCATCTGACTCCACTGTACGTACTCTTCCGGAACCATATGCTTTCGTAACGACCACCATATGATGTCGTGCGCCACCTTGTCGAACGCCTTCTCCAGGTGAGGAACGCTGTGTGCAGCTCACATTGTCTTTCCCTGCTTCTCTCCATCATTATTCTGACGGTGTGGATGGTGTCTGATGTGCTGCAGCCTTTCACGAATCCACATTGATTGGATGCCAATTCTACGATGCTTCGGAGCCTCGTCTCTAGTATCCTTTCGAATATCTTCAATGTGTCTCTCATCAGTCGTATAGCCGGTATGTAGAACAATCAGCTATATCGCCTTTATTCTTCCATATCGGGATCGTCGTACTTCTACACCAGTGCTTGGCATCTTTCTGGAGTCTACTACTCGATTCAGCAGTCGTGTCAGCCACGTAACTCCTGATTGTCCGCACTTCTTCCAGAACTCGCTCGGGATGTCGTCTTGACCTGTTGCCTTGCCGTTCTTTGTTTTCATAATGGCGATTGGCACTTCATCTTCCGTGATGGCCGGTACTGGTCCATGTACAGCCTCAGCCGCTGCAGTTGATGAGTATTCGTAGCTTGTAGATGCCGTATCTGCGAAGTGTTCTCTCCATCTCTTATTTATATTTTTAGGTTTCCTCAGCACTCTTCCGTCTGCATCTTTGATATTGCAGAAGCGCTCCACGTTTTTTGAGGCTTTTGCTCTTCCTCTTGCTAGCCTGTAGATCTCACGTACACCTCCGTGACTGTGCAGCTTTCTGCTCCGCGTAAGCAAGAGAAGGAAGCGTAAGCTTCCTTCTCTTGTTTGACACTCCGTTTCGCTGCTCTTTGGCGTCTACATATGTCTGCCGCCCTTCTTCTGATTTTGTCTTCTGCCATATTCTGAAAGCTGTCTTCTTCTTCTTGATCACGAACTGCGCGTCATCATTCCGCCACCAGGTTTCCTTACCAGGTTTTGTTCTTCCTGGTTTCGTGCGTCCCAGTAGATCGGTTGCTACCTGATGGACGTTGTTCTTCAGATTCTTCCAGGATTCTCTGGCTCTTCTTCTAGCTGTGGTAGGGCGGATTCTATAGCTGCTCTAACTTCATCGTTGTCTCTGAGCTCCCACCATTTGATGCGTGCTACTTGCTCAGTCGTCGTTCTTCTTTGCCTGTCGACTGGTATATTCAGATCCAGAATCAGTGGTCGATATTGTGGTATGCAGTCTTCACCGGATATGACTTTGCTGTTCTTCACATATTTGAGCTCGCGTTGTCGTACAGCCCAGTAATCTATTTGCGACTTCCAATCCCCGCTGGCGTACCGTGATGAGGAGGCTAGGCTTCATGATAAAGTATGTGTTTGCTAGCGCCAAGTCATGTGTCGTGGAGAACCCCAAAATACGTTCTCCTTCTTCGTTACGTGATCCGTATCCGTGATTTCCGTGACATTTGCTTGCACCGCAACTTTGTTCCCCGACATGACCGTTTAGATCAGCACCAATTAGTAGCATTTCGTCATCTGTTATCAGGCTCATGTAAATCGTCAAGTTGATTTCAGAATTCATCCTTCTCCATCTGTGTGCAACCTACTTGAGGTGCATAGGCGGTTATGATTCGGAGGATTCCCTTCCCGGTATCCACTCTGCACATAAGTCTATGGCCCGTAGTAAACCTAATTCAGTTCAGGTGAACTGAACTGAGGCCCCCATCCAAGGTTCGGTAAGGTAGACTGCCTATCACCAGCTCTCCACGTTGTAAGAATGCAAAAAAGATTTCAGCTGACCGTCCGTCTACCTGACGAGGTAGTCTACCTTACTTCAGTCAGTTCACATTCAGTTAAACTACCAATTGATGAAAATAGCGTGCTAATGATGATACGCAGAGAAACTTTTCGTAAGTTGCTCCTGAGTAACTTACAAAACATCATAATTTGCCTAACAATGCAGAAAAACTCAACGAAGAACTGCACACATTTTCCTTCGCTGTGCTTGTGCGAACTCGACGGTTTTGGCCTTTTTTCGCTTCCTTTCACTGTTTCATTTTGTTGTTAGTACACTTATCTTTTAAAGTAGCATAATTTTTGCCTGAAATGATCAAAATTCTTTCTCTTTTTGACATGACATCCGTATCTTATCCCAGCTGTCATGATTCTGCTCGATGGCAATTTTCGGGTGCTCATCGCTTCAAGTGTAAAATCATATAGGGCCGCTAGCTGGTGTCTTGTCTTGATGAAAACTAGATACTTTTGAAAGTTTGAAGCTGATCTCGGAAGTGTCACTACTATCTGGTCAGTGAACCCGTGCTGCTATTATTTCCTCCATTTTGTGATTTTAGTTTTGCACGCCATTTTGCATTTTCTGTTCTTTGTTCCATTTTCGTGTGTTTGTATATGTCGTGGTCGCACAATCACCTGTTGTTTTTGATGTCTTCTGTTCCTGCTTACAAGCATCTAGAATGCTTCGCTAATCAATACCATTCCAGTACGTTCAGTTCATAGTAGGTTTTTTCAAATCTACCAGATCTATTTTTCGATGATTTTTAACACAAGATAAGAATTGCCAGTGGAAGTCATCTGTCGCAAAAGATCGGCTGGTTTATGATGATATCGATGAGCAACTTTATTGAGGCTATTTTCTCGAGAGTTTTCATGCTTCTGACATTGTTTCTTGCCTACTGGAAGCTAACAGCACGTGCAAACAATTCATTGTTGAACGAGTCGCATTGTAATCATAGCTTGCAAAGTGACGAGTTCTTTTGCTCCACCCCCTTGTTCCCAGAATAAAAAACTTCTGAGAATTTGCTTTTTCAAATTATCTGTATGAAAGTAGCATTGCCGATTCAAAAGCTAGTCTCCTACTCTTAAATGACACTTATGATTATAACTAATACTACCAATAAGAGCTACACTTGGGGCAGAACTAGCAGATAGAGTTGGCTGATGCTTTCCTTTCGCAACGTGCTGCATATACACAGCATTTGCTGAGAACAGTTAAACATCCAGAATTGCTACAATTGCGTTTGCACACATTTCACTTTCATCACTTCGTTCATTACCTGAGATTATACGGTACAGTTGCGTGTTTATTTGCTGATGAAAGCGAAAATCGCATTTGATGCAACCTTTTCGCGTCATGAAAACAGCGTGCTTTCTCGATTTGTATCAGCTTTGTCAAACCGAAATTGTTATAGGTAATGAACTGGTGGATAATTTGACCCTATTCAGAAAGGGATGAGTGTCAAGAAGAAAGGGCGAAGCAGTGAGAATCTGGGCCGGCTACATTCACAGGTGTGATGGGGTTGTCTGGAACGAATTTCGTACAAGGAAAAAGGGTTAGCATTTTTGCTTCTCTTTCAGCAATTCAGTTTGTCTTGATCATTCCACTTATTTCGTTTTACCCGTTTTTGCTTTTCATTTAACGAAATGTTAAAGTCCATCTGCTTGCGATTGATAACACATGGAGGGCGTTCACATTCGTTTAACCTTGCAAAATAAATTCGAAATTCGGGGAGGAGTTGTTCATTCTTTTATTATGGTTAGGTTTGGGAGATGATCCTTCTGCACCGCTAGCCTGGCCTTATGAGCTTAATTACTATGCACCTCTGATAGAAGACTAGACAGAAGAGCTATAGTGCGTGGAAGAGCAATTTTTTCGTCTTTGAGCCAAATTTAGTGCCCAAAAATGCACGAAAAGGCTTTATCCTGCGAGACAAATGCGACGCACGTGATTAGCACGGCAAAAAGGGCACGTTATTCGTAATCAGCGTGCTTCCGAATCCCTTTAAGCAAAATTTGAGCAAATTCGGGATTTTTAGCGACCACCGTATGTCCACCGTAGCCCGAGAAAATGGCGCTACCGTACGAAATGGATGTGATTTTTATATTTAGCGTGCCAAATATGAAACCACTTTAGACGAAGTTTGGCGCAAATCCGTGATTTTGACCCCCTACCGTAGTCCTACCGTAACTCTACCAGATGGCATTACGGTGCGAAAAAGAGTGATATTCGTTATCAGCGTGCAAAATAATCGCTCTAGACGAAGTTTCAGCAAAATTCGCGCCGTTCATTTTTTGGGTCAACTAGTGGAATTGTACCAATTATGCATCTTTCCAACTTATTTCCATTTTATACCTTTTTTCTATTATGACTTTCTAACATGAAGCACATGTGCAGTCTAATCGCTGAACTTAGTTTGTTTAGTACGCACCGACACGTTCGCCAACAAAAAGATGTGGTACTAGCTCGACTCGAGCACTCGTTGAAAGGCGTTGATGCAATGCTGATAAAAGGGGGCACGATCAAAAAGCCGACATCCGCACATTGTTGCTGTTTGCGAGTGCAAAAGCCGCAGAACTTGCAGCTGCTTAGATACACGGACCTTGTCATCACATTTCGTGACGTAGTGTCATTGTCTCAGGATTGCGCATCACTGCCATTTTTGAAGAACACAGACGTATAGATTTTGATATATGGGGTGAAATTTCCCTTTATGACTTTCTTTTTCACGTTTATCGCTTGAATTTCATGACTTGTCCTATAAGACGAATATTAACGATAGATTTTGATCGTGTGCCATTTTCAATTATAGTGGCGTATTCGCACCTTTTGTGACTACGTCAAACTCAATGATTCCTAATGATTTCAGGATGCTATGATCCAAGTTTCCTATCAGTTATTTCAATTCTAGTCGCAAATTGTACAAAATCAAGGTCTTACTTGGGAGAAATCTATGATTGAGGTATGCTCAACCTTACGAGGCTTTTTCCATCCATAGAAGTTGGAACTAGTTCTGTACTACCTACGTTTCTCAGACTGTGAACAAGCTACGGCAACTTGCGCGTGAGAATGCGGAGGATTTGCCGAAAGTGTCACTAGCTGGCGAGGGAGTGGAAAGTGGAATAGAAACGGACACAAGTGGTGCCAAGGGAATTCCACTCAATTCGGATCGAGCTGTAAGCAAAGCTTGGGAGTGCAGAAAGATTTCATAAGAGACTCGGCGCAATGATTGTTTGACATGCGCAAAAATAGTGGGAGATCTGTCGCCTCGGTAAGTTTTGAGATTGTACGTGATTTACAGTCTCATTTTTTAGGAGCTTTTGATAATTCTTTCCTTCACCGTTTTTCGACATTTTGCTTCGTTTCTGGATAATTTGTCTTAGCTACAGGTAAGACACAAAGAATGTTTGTGAGACTCATTCCTGGGGGCTCATGTCTTTATTGTGGCGACTGTATCCCATCAGTCTGCCATAATTTTTTATTCTTAGCGAACATTTGCTCTGGTATCGTTTGTTCGCTTTTGTTAGAGTAGGCGGAGCATTTGCGGACTGCCGCCGGCGTCGCGGTCTTAGCGCTGGCGGCGGTTATCTATTCTGCCCCAGCGCTAAGACCCGACGCCGGCGGCAGTCCGCAAATACCCCGCCTAGTCTAACAAAAGCGAACAAACGATAAGCATCACTTTCTTGCAAACAAATTATCCAGATTTTAGGTCCCTGCCCCATCGTCCATCCGAGATGTAGATCCTCGCTTGACAAGCCGCAAGATTAACGATGTTGCCGATGAGAGTGACCTGCGACAGCGAGTGCTTACAGGTGCGTGTAAACGACAGTTAAGATCTACTCGGACAAAGGATTCATATTTTTGTCTCTTTCCTCCTCCTCCATATGGATGAAGTGCATCTAATTATGTGTGTTTGTAGATGGCAGCCCTCTGTCCCAAACGAGCGACAGTCTCAAGAAGCTGTTGACAACCGTTAAGAGGACCGCCGAACTAGCACTTAGTCAAGCCGTTGCGGCTGGAGGAGCTGAGACTGACGACATTCTTATGCAAAATATGAAGCTATTATGATGTGTTCTAAGCAGCTCAAATTAGGGGGGGGGGGTGTAGCTAATCTTGGAGAAACGAAAAAGATAACGCGAACAGGCGATTACAAAATGCAGCTAATTGCTATCTTTTTCATTTCGTGTATGTGAAAGGCGCTCGTTTCGGCAATCGAGTATTAAGGGACTAGATCCATACCCTACATTAGTAAGGCTCTCAGTCGCTCGTGATGTGACCGCCCTGAGGATACAGTGGGAATTCGGTTGAGCGTTACGTCAGACGATGCAAACAATTGTTTGGCGTTTTCGAAGGTAACTGCATATGACAATCAACAGAGACAAAGCTTGAATTTAGAGAGATGATCAATACCACCACAAAGATGTGTCGTAATGACTCGTTCACAAATCATGCGCCTACAAAATTGCAAGAACTGACTATTAGGCCATGTTGTAATTTCAACCTTCCAACAATGCGCTTGAACTCACTTTTGTAAAAGGATTTTCATACATACGAGCTTAGAGCTATCATCCATTCTTGGAATCAATCTGGTGGAAGTTACACCATGCATTAATAAGTTTAAACCAGTCTTTTCATTTCTAGTAGTAGGACGATAGGACGACTGAATGCGGTAAACTGCGAGTTCTGACTTGTTGATAATACGTGGTCTTCTCGAGAATGATTACGTGTGATTGAACGATATTGATCAATGACTCAACTGAAGGCAAGCTGACTTGTCGAAGCCTCAACTGAAATTTTATTCAGTTGAGATCGACTGAAGCAGCTTTACTACGGGCCTATCACTTAGTCGGTTCACGCCAGTGATTTTATTCCTTAGTGCTTCCGAAACCACTATACCGACGCCGTTTCTGGTGCTGTTGGGTCCTTTGTAGAGAAGTTTGCAGCCGTCTCCTATATCCCTCGACTTCCCACCCTTCCACTTTGTCTCCTGAATGCAGGCGATATCAACTTTACGTCTTCTTAGAAGATCAGCCAATTCGCGATGTCGTGCTGCGAGTGATCCTACATTGATGGTGGCTAGACGTAACGTTGAGAACTTGGATACCTACCTATGGTAAGCTAGCTTCTTTAACCGTCTCCGCTCACCCTTCTGAAACGGTAACCCTAGCATACTATTCGCACTCGTCGGGCTCGAATGCGCGTCGCCTCCGGGGAACGCCCTAGCTTTTACTCGTGATATCCGATGAGATATACAAAAACATCTGATGCGACGTGGTTTCTTCTTCAGCCGGCTTGTCGCTTGCTTCCTTTGGATGAGCAGCCTGACGCTGGAATCATGAACGGAGCTTTACCAAAGAAATTAGGCCCGCCTCGGATCCGAACCTGTTACATTCCTCGTCGTAGTCAAGGGCACTAACCTCTCGGCCAACTGTGCCCTGCACTCGTCCTTCCGGTTGATTTTTGGATTTTGGGCGGCTATCCCAAACGCTTCGAGTGTCCTGCGCGCTAGGATTTTAGGCTCACGCGCCAGGATTCGAACCTGCACGCCCACCTCCGCATCGTCATGGCTGAGCCTGCGATGCATGCCTAACGGAGTAGCTACGTTGTTCTTGCTGAGACCATCTAAGTGTTCTTTGATGTGCGTGCATAGGGGGCGACCCGTCTCGCCAATATGCGCGTCTCCACATGATGTACACGTGATAAGGTAGACAACACCTGGGCCAGTAGTAATCTATCCTACTTGCCGGCAGGTCTTGCCCTCAACTCGCCGCGATCTCGCCTTCAGGTCATGAAAACTGCCAACACCCTCTAGATGTTCTTCAAAGCAATCAGTCTGGCACTCTCTAGGTCTGACGGTCTAGCTTAGAGGTGTCCACCAGATGGAGATCGAAAAAAATCCGAAAAATTCCGACAACTTCAATTTTTGGACCCAAAAGACTGACCTGCCGGCAACTTCGTGAGGTATTTTATCGGATTTCTGCAGCGATCTCGCCCTCAACTTACCGGCATCTCGCTCTCTTGTCAGAAAAGAAGAGAAATAGTGTGTTCAATGACATAGAAAATAAAGAAATCGATCACAAATCCGCCAGATAACGAGATGAATGTCATGGACCTGCCGGCATCTCGTCGTGCCCCTACCAGTCGAGATTCCGGCAGGTCCATGACATTTATCTCGTTATCTGGCGGATTTTTGATCGATTTCTTTATTTTCTGTTTCTCTTTTGCTACTGAGGCATACTTGTCATCCAAAACAGTCACAAATGTTCAAAAATCGGTGGCATGATGAGTTTTTCTAGTTTGTTGTAAGATACAAGAGTTTTAAGTTCATCTGAGCTTTTGCTGACTAAAAAATTCACTGTCGGTGTTTATCTATTTTATGTTTCTTACAATTTCTTAATTGAACAGCCACACGGTTGTCGGTAAGTATTCCTCATTGCCTGAATAAGCTTTTCCTTGATTCTATCTTTGAGAATTCCGATAGCACAACTATCGCATGCTTGACCAATTTCGATTTTTCGATTGTTTTCATCGTTCAGCTTTGTTTCTACACTTCCCGTTATGTTGACGGTGCATACCTGCCGAGAAGCTTTCAACCAGCCGAAAGTTCAGATCGTTATGGTTCTCTGTCGGAGCATTCGCAGCGCTTTTTGCGTCGTTGAGATCTCCATGTATCTGACACATCTTCTCTACGGAGGTTTGTTTGAGTATCTTTTTCGGTTCTTTTATGATTCTTTTTCATTTTATCTTTTTGCTTTTGTCAGATTCACCGTTTCGTTGCTGTTGTTCTTCACTTCCCTAAACCCTAACTAAATGCTATTTTATCGAACAAGTATAAGGTTTTAGGCCCTGGCCAGACTTCGCTCAAAGGCTCCCAGAAGCTCTCAATAGCGGCCAAAAGCGCCCAAATTTCTCTGGTGTCTCTTCACTTTCTCGTGTGAGGAGAGATGAGAGAGAGTGAGGAGAGGTTAGAGAAGTTTGGGCGCTTTTGAGCGAAGTCTGGCCAGGGCCTAACAGCGTGTCTCTAGATTTATGCAGGTGTCGGTTCTCAACCACGTCAGAGCTCGATCTTTATTGTCGTCTCTATTCAACAAATCAGCACCGACCTCTGAGAGTAATGCTAGAAAACTCAGTAAGCAGCAGCAGGTGATCGTTTTCAATGATTACAAATTTCTGTTTTAGAGCTTTATTCACGTTTAAATTTGTCTTTATGACTACCACTGACATAAGGGTCTTGGGAAGCTTTCACTATAATACAAATCCCTTGATTATTATTGCTCCTTTGTAAGGACAAGCGATTGTTACTTAAAGTCGTTTAGGCGGTGGCTTTTGAATGCGTTTATTGATAGTTAAGCAAGGTCAGATTAAGGAGTAGTCATTTAGTGACCTATGCAAGTGCTAACACATATGTGCTAATGAACATATCCATTCTAGACCAGAAATTCCTTTAGTTGAAACTTGTGGTAGTTTGAATATGCTTCAAAGTCAGCTTCTTTCGTTAGATTGAACTCATTACATTTTGTTAAACGTTTGAGCTTGTTGAGCGTCGACCAAGATATTAACCACACTTTATTCACGGCCAACGTTTCGGCGGAATTGCCTTCGTCAGAGCCTAGAAAGTCGAAAACATAAGTGAAACATTCTCCTAGACGCCAAAATTTCTGCTTGCCGTTCGTATCGGATAAGATAAGCGCGGCAGTGCGGTTGCGTACATCTCGCGGGTTTGCAAGACGATGTCAGGGTGGTCGATATACCACCTTTGAACTAAAGCGCCAATTGGTCCGAAATCGATCTTACGATCGTACCTGCCTAACCCCAGCTTGTGTCGTTTGCCCATTTGGCAAAGAGGGTGATTGCATGATCTCCGGGGTTATCTATCTCATCACATGATTATCGTGTGGTGATACGTATATCGGAGAAACAGGACGACCTCTTTGCTGCCGCGTTAAAGAACGTCTGGATGGTTTGAACAAACTGAAAGCAGCTACGCCGTTAGGCAGCCATCGCATTTCGTGCCATGAAAATGCTGAGATTAGTATTGGAGTGACTATATTAGCGTACAGCCCGACCTCCTAGCGCGCAAAACTTTGTAAGCGTTCTGGATCAACGCCAAGAATCCAAAGATGAGGAAGGAAGAGTGCATAGCCATCAGCAATTAACTGGCGCCATATCAGTACCTATGTGGGTTTTGATAGGTCGGGTCACCCGAGCACTATAAATAGGGAAGGAGGTATAGTTCTGAGTATATGGTGGTCTAACACATCATCACACGTTATCGAAGGTGAGTCTTGGTTACCCGATCTCCCTTTGCCTTTGCCTCTCTCCAATTTGACTTTCGTTTTGAGCTGGAATCTTGGCGTCTAGGAGAATGTTTCACTTATGTTTTCGACTTTCTAGGCTCTGACGAAGGCGATCCCGCCGAAACGTTGGCCGTGAATAAAGTGTGGTTAATATCTTGGTCGACGCTCAACAAGCTCAAACCTTTATTAACTATCGATACCAAGACTAATAAGCAACCGAAGTTGGACAACATTACATTTTGGTTTTTGTACGCTAGCACTTTGAGGAGAAGTTGCGAGATGTTCTATCGGGTTTGAGCACAGATTCATCGAGATCTAAGCCTCGAGGAGAAGTCTCAAGTGATGTTGCTGACGACTTATTGGACTATCAAATCGACATCGACTTGATATGTGTTCGAGGGTTGGTTACATTCTCGATCTTTTCGGTGAAAAAATCTATCATTTTTAGCTTCTTAAAATATTGCTATAATTATAAACCAGCTGCTAATGTGCGAGATACTGTTCTGGAGACGGCAAAGAAGCTGTTACCTGTGAATGGGTCAGCTCAATCGGTTCACGCGCAAAGAAGTCTATAAAAACATACGGTCAGTTGCACAAACTTTGAGCTTTATATGTATATCTATATATAAATAAAACTCAATCTCTATAAATTTGTTCGTATGTAAGTATGTGGCTTATAGACTCCTTTGTTTGTGAACCGATGAGACTGAAATTTGCTCTTTTATATATGAGGCCAGGCGCAGAAGGTAGGCTACTTTTTGCGACGATTCA